TTGGTATGTTTAGGAGCACCGTTTTTGAGTCGTAGCGTATTCTGATTTTTCGTCCTGATTCTCGTCTCGGGTTTGCATGGTGAGAAAAATTAATTTTTAAGCAGCTGCATCTAGAACATTAATTATCAGAGACCCAACATTCAACGAGGCGATAGGTCGTAAGCTCGGCTACATTTTCGTGCCAATGCGCCTAACATGTAGGACATAGTTACGTGAATTATTCGTTAGATTTTCAAATTCAGCTAGATTTTTGGTTCCCGGAAAATGTGCCGGGCGCATCCATACTGATTTACCTAAATCTGCCGCAGGCAGCCAACATCAGCCCGATTGATGGAACGTCTAACTCGTTGCCACCTGAGTGTGAGCCTTCTACATACTCTGACGGCCCGTCACCTCCCAGATCTGCATGACAGCCCGGTGAAGCCAGGTTCAGAGTGTTGCTTTCCGGAGCTGCAGGCCGAGCTGAACAACTTCACTGAGAAACTGAGGCCCACCCAGGAGAGGGAAGGGAAGGGCGAGCCAAGCGGGCGCGTACTGAACAGTGGAACCGGGCGCAGCTCCGCTCAGTCACCTGCCCAGGCCCGCCCGCCTCCCCGTCACGCTGTTCGGGATCATCAGCTCGATAAAAAATGTCGGTGTGGTACGACCCGCGACACGGGACTCCAGAACACTGGCGATGCGTGTTTCGTGAACACGGTGCTGCAATATCTGAGCAACACCCGCGGCCTGCATGACCACATCCTATGAGACGATTTCTCGAGAGGCATCAAGGCGACCACCTGCGCCATGAAGGGTGCCCTCATCAGAGCATTTGCCACGCTTATGCGCGACTTGTGGAAGAGCCCAGATGGGGTGATCGGACGCTGACCACCTCTCCATTTAAGGTACAATGCCAGCGGTTTGCGGCCCGCTTTACGGGCTATCAGCAGCAGGACGCACAAGAGTTCCTCAGATACCTGCTGGAGGGCTTGCACGAGGGCGCCACCCGTGTCGACAACCAGCCCAAGCCCAAATCCACCCGCATCCACAACAGCCTCAGTGCCACTCAGAAACCGCTGGAGGCTTGGAAGCGTCTCTTGTTCCTGCAGAACTCGGGAAGTTCTTTGACCTGTTCGCCGGAGAACTCAAGTCCACGCCTCGGTACACGGTGCGCGGCCGCGCGCCAGTGACGTTTGACCCTTTTTGGAACCTGAGTCTGCCCATCCATGACCGGCCGGGTGTGCTTGAATGACTGCCTTGACCTTTTTACCAAGGAAGGGGTTCTTTAAGGAGAGGAAAAGCCGCCGTGCTCCACGTGCCGGAACTGTCAAAAGTGCTCCTAAATTGATAAATTTACGGCTTTACAGCAAACAGCTACAGCAACCCGAAGGAAGTGGAGATTCTATCTTGATTCTCCCAGTTCCACAACCAGGTTCTAGCAGCACTTCACGTCGTGGTAAAGGCTAATTCGTTCTTATTATCAATCTAAAAAATTCGCAGGGGAAATATATCACCCACGGTAGCTTTTGGCTTCAGCTTCAGGAAAAGGGTGCAACTTAAATCGAAAGAACTAAAAAGAAACGAAACAAAGCTTCAACGAAACCTACACGGAACGATCGGCCCCTTGGAAATCAAATGGTTCCAAATGCGATCATTGCTTGAGGGCATTATCGCCGCGAGAGGGCCTTCCGTTAGCCCCAGCACCCGTCTCTCCCTTACCAAGGCTTCGGCTGCACGGCCCCTGGTCGGTGGTAGATCCTTTCTTCCAACGTACTTTCAAGTCGCCTCTCTTGACAACACTACGCGCGCGCGCACACACACACACACACACAAAACACCAAAAGTGCACAAGACTTTTATTCGGGTCCATGAACGTCAAATACTGAAGTCTTGGCTTACAGCAGGCGAGCCGCGAAAGAGGCGGTGCTAACCACGCGGCAGCGTTGCCGCCTTCGCCGTACTTCTGATGCCTCCGCGGCGTCGCCGCTCGTCGACGCCGCCTTGCCTTCCCGAGCGTTGTGACCCGAGGACTTTTGCTTGGTGTCTGTTATCACTGAACTATCGACCACAGTTCAAAACCGGCCGCAACAGCCAACACGTACATTGTACTGTACTTAACGACGCGCGCATGGTCCTGTAGCCCTGAGATAAGACCGCTTGTGGTATTGCGGCGTTCAGGTGACAGGCCCAGTGCGTACAGACACATATTCGCACGATCCACCACCCAGGCGTCTGTGCCAGACCAGACCCCCTCCCCCCCCCCGCGTCGCCAGCCACCGATCCTGGAGGCACAATGAAGGTCCTGCTCATCGCTGATACAGACACATCGACCCCTCGGCCGCATCCCCGGCGTGACGTCAGAGCGCAGCGCGACCGGCGCCGCCCCGGCGGGCCGACGCGCTGATATGCTCTGCTGGCGATCCAACTCGGGCTGCGCGGCCTGCCTTTCTGCCTTTCACAGCCTTATCGGAAACGCTTCAATCACACAAAAACAAGACGCGAGGTCTGTACAAAATATACATCTTCCATCCTAAAGCCCAACTACTATCGAAACCGCCCCGCGTGGGGCCACGCCCCGCTGTAGAGCATACGGCGTGGGTTGTGTCAGAGAAGAAAATGGCTGCTATCGACGACCGACCAGACCGTGCGTTCTTACCCCATCTCACACCCAAACGAACTGGTCTTGAGCAGCTATTTTCATACAATGATGGCATGCCGAGCAAAAAATGTACAAAACAAGAAATCCATGGAAGCCCACGGGGAGTCCCTCTCACGATTGGACAGTCGTTGGGCCGAATGTCACCAATAGTTTGGTTTGGTTTGGGTCGAGTTCGAAACCACGCCAAAACCTTACACTACTCACGCTTCACGGCCACGTCGGCGAGCAATCATCACTGTTCAACAATCGGTAACGGGGGAGTCACTTCACCTCTCCGCTCAGGTACCTGGTGCAGACGCTCGTCGTCACACCACCGGCGCAGCTGAATACGCACCGCAGCGAACCACACGGCCGGCGTCAGACCAGTCACGACCACGTGCTTCTGCAACGTGCTGACAGCCAGCGCGCCGAGCCGACGGGACAAACACCGCAGCATCCCGCACGCCTGCACCAGCTCACGCAACTCTCCAGAAACAGCCGTCTCAATGTCAAGACGCCAGGTCCGTCCATTTGCCGCGCCGCCTGGTCTCCACGAGATGAGGGTGGTCGGAAATTTCTCGTGCCGCGGCGCCAGTGGTGCCGACTAATTAATGTCGCTTCGGGCCGAGCCGCCGCTGAATACTCGGGTATCCCGCGCAACCACGCGTTGGCCAAGACCTGTCAGCGCATGCCATTATTTGTTTAGTTGCGGTTTTTCCCTGACTTTGCCGGTGTTTTTTGTTTGTTATGCGCAACTAACGCCGTCAACCAAAGCCGTTCATCAGCCAAGGGACATCTAGTCTGCTCTAGTGTTTTCAAAATTTATGAAAACGTTCTTTGTTCGTTTTTTGGCATTGTTGTACACATCCCCTTCCCGTTTTTGAGACAACATGCATATTGCAGTTGGTTCAAGGCTTCAGCATCCCCTTTTGAGCGCCGCTTTAAGTGTCAACGATGCCCAACAACCAAGGAGAACAGGCAGCTAGGTAGAGGGCCTCCGTGCGCGTGCGCAAAATGGAGACCTTGCGCGAAGCACTGCAGCGGGAAGACAGCTCTGAAAACCCGATTGACTGACTGAACAACCTGGTACAGCACCTCCAACTGACAACTAGCGCTGTAGGTGTCTCCACCTGTGAGGAACTACAATTCGGGGAGTGGCAGGACAGCACCGCCAGGTCCTACTGGTACCAGGGAGACATTGGTTACCGCCAACAGCCCCTGGTGGGTCTCCTGGCCGTGCCGCAGAGGCTGCTGAACCCCAGAGCAGCTCTCTCCGCCCTGGTCTCACGTCATCCTGGATCAGTCCAATCGGACCTCAGCCAGTGCTGTGAAGCACTAACCCGGGGTGCAGCTCGGGACCTCACATCGCACGAGGCGACATACAGACTAGATATTCCTCAACCGGTGGACGGCTCTGGCTGACGGCGTTAGCTCCACATGGAAAATAAAACATACCGCGCAGTCAGGGAGAAGCCGCAATTTAATAGATAACGCTATGCGGCTAACAAAACTCCGGCACCGATGCACCACGAACTGGAGCGCCTAACCAACGCACGAGCAGAACTTAAGACCGCTGTTGTACTGGTGTACACATGAGACGGTCAACCTCTGGCGGGACAAACAGAGTCTGAACACGTCCCCGCAAGGCGAAGTAAAACTAGTGCTACCTCAAGCTAGTCACCTGGTGCAACAAAACTATGTGGACTCGTGAAAACATCATTGCTCAACCCTACTGGTGGAACTACGCTAAGCGATCGCTGCCTACGCTGCGCGAGACAACCTGTCTCTAGAATGAAGCGAGGCGAAACATTCTTTCTTCCAAAGATGGACGATCTACCCCAAAACATAACGCTGCTTGGTACTACGGACTGTACAAAACATCATGAGGTCAGGAGGGGCGCCACTGTTGCCAAACTGATGACGTCACGAGCGCATCGTCAGCCGACGTCCGATCGCTGACGGCGCAGGCGGACCGGAGCGTCCAGGCCGAGTGGAGCGAGCCGGATCGTCCGGGCCGAGTGGAGCGAGCCGGAGCAGGCGGGCCGAGTGTGTGGTGGACCGGAGCAGGTGGACCGAGTGTGTGGTGGACCGGAGCAGGCGGACCGGATCGTCCGGGCCGAGTGGAGCGAGCCGACGCGACCGGCGTTCCCCGCCCCGGCCGTGCGGCAGCGGCTGCGGCTAGGGCTGGAAACGCACCATACACTGCGGGGTGCTGACCGGGCCGCGGCGCTGCCGCCAGCCTGACGCCGCGGCGCTGACCACCAGCCTGACGCCGCGGCGCTGACCACCAGCCTGGCGCCGCGGCGCTGACCACCAGCCTGACGCCGCGGCGCTGACCACCAGCCTGACGCCGCGGCGCTGACCACCAGCCTGACGTCGCGGCGCTCCGAATCGCGGTGCGCCCAAGGCCAACAGCACGCCCCGCTCAGTGGAGGGGGCCGGTCGGCGGCGGGGAGGTATCCGTGGCGGCAGGTACTCGAGTGGCTTGTCGGAGCACGCCCTCCGACCGCCTATGAGAGGCTGGCGTGGCGCCGTCCGCGCCCGGTCTGAATCTTGGCGATAATGTTGCAGATCTTCAGCGCCGGCCCCAGCTTTAGGCCCATGTACTTCATCATGATGTCGGACGTGAGCAGCAGCAGCGCGTTGCCGTCAATCTCCTGCAGGGCATCACGGGACACGCTGTCACTATACCGTATGCCGAGCGTGTGGCCACACGGCCAACTACTGCGACCATACCAGTGTAGCGGCACGGGGTCAACATGACGCCGGGGTCACCAATGTCGCGCACGCCACTGTCTTCGGCGACCAAAGAGAAAACGCGGCAGTAGTTGCCATTTGTGTTCTTCAGTTAACAACCCGAGCCCCCGTGCAGTGCGACACAAGCGTAATCCCGGCACTGCTATTGCTAGCACCCCGACACGTGGCGGGGATTGCAGCTAGTCCTGGTAAGGAGGGGGGGGGGGGAGGGGGAGGGCAAAAGGTTGGCAAACGGGCCCCTGATGGCGAAACGGCCCCCTGCCCCCAATACAACACAGTAACTGGATATGACCGACTTTATTTCTAGGGGCACTTTCATCGCTTTATTTTTGCTTTCACTTTCAACTGGAACGATAGCCAGAAACCAGCGGAAGATGCACTTGTTTCTATTTTTAAGTCAATAAACTGAACGAACCAGGTGTTAAATGACTGTATGGAACAAACCCAGGACGGTTTTTACGCAGCAATGTTTCAGCGGTCTCTCTATAGCACTCAGGGGCCTACCGGAAGCTTTTTGGGCTCCACAAGGATACTGAGCGTAGCGTAGCGAGCGTATTGTCAGCGGAGACTGCAGATCGAAATGGGCTCAAAAAGTGGTTTTAACGTGACCAGCCTATGATCGCATGAGAATGTCCGACCCTCCTTCAGAATGGCAGAACGCCCTCCCGTCACCTGTCTTTTTGTAAACTCTCGTCGTCAGTTAGATCCGCTTCCATTGTCAGAAGACCCTGACCAACGTAAAATGCGCTCTGCCATTCGGGGTCCTGGGTCCCTCCCGCAAATCCCGGGCCCCAGCCTTTTTTTCCCAGCCAGCCTCGTCTCTGCTTGGAAAGTGGGTCCCCTGGCCACAAGTGGCCTCTGGCCGAAACTGAAGCTTGTGTTGTCCCAGGGAGTCCCCGTTCGGCGAAGAGACCCTTTGACTGACAAGTGAGGGCCTGGCCCTGCGACCAGGACCCCCTAATACGACACCCTTTTGGGGTCTTCGGGTCCTACAACGTCCAAGGAGGGGGCTCGTGCCCTCCCCCCTCCGGGACGCGCCTGTGGACGAGCCAGGCCGGTGGCCCAGTGTGATGCCTGATCCCTATTGTCCGAGCCCCATCACTCACGTGCTTCTGGAAGAGCTCGGCGTACTGGCCGAGCGTGGCGTCGTGCTGGGATATGTAGTGGATGACCTCGTCGATGGTCCAGGTGTGCGGGTCGACCGAGAGCAGGGCACGAGTAGGCACCTCCGAAGTGGAAGTGGCCGCTTCATCCTCCTCTGCAGCACACAACAGCACCAGTGACGCAAGCGCAGGGAGGGTACATCGGCTTTACTTTACGCGGTGCTACTTAAATGATAATGGCAAGGAGCTTTCGACACATCGGTATGCAGTGAGTCTCATCGCCTTCAAAACCACAACAGGCTAAAAGAAGCGGTCCAACCGGACGTTCTCATGCTTTCTGAAGTTATTTCGTGCGCTGAGGTCGATTATGCAGCCATTTTGGCGCACCAGCTGGACGAAATCCAAGAAAAGGATAAACCTTGGGATATGCTAAGCAAAACAAGCTAGGGGCGATTGCACCATTTACTAGTATTTGGTCATTACTTGAGGTGGAACCGTGAAACAAACCCAGTTGAGTTGCTTGTCATACAAAAGGAGGCCAACAGCATCCATGAGTAAGGTTTAAACCAACTTTTGACTCCGCTGGTGAGGGCAATAACCCCAGTTTTGGGGAGCATTGTAAACTGCACTTTTGAATAGTTACAAAGCAAACACTTAAGAAGGTAGAGACTTCGCTAGCCAACGGAAGCTCTCTATAAAACTTTCTCAAGTCATTGGCAAAGCCGACGCCTTCTGCGGTGAATTGATCAGGTCAGGTCGCCCAATGCGACACCAGGTCTGAATGGTATGAAAGCTTTTGAAAGGAATGGTATTTAAGCGTACCAGTTGGACATAAAAGACGATGCGGCCCGTCTGACGTTCCGAACCAGCGCCCTTAATATCCTCAGATATGGCACAATCCCAACAGGTCAGTCGAAGTCAACAGAGGCTAACCCCGGTCAGTGAACTCAGTTGACTTTAGGTTTTGTCATTAAAAACAAAACATTGTTTGCGACCCATACCCATTTTTACGAGAGTTACCTTCAGTGTCATTACCTGGCATTAGTCGAGTTTAATAGTTGTCTTTATGCACAGATAATACAAACAAACAGGGGTGTAAAAGATGAGCATACACACGCCACGAGGATGTAGGCCTGGAACACGTGAATAGGGTTCTGATCGATAACTTCGGTGGCATTCTCCCAAATTCACTGCATTTCGGCAGGCTGCCTGAACGTTTCCGGCACTCGAACGGGCCAGAACACAAATATTTGACAGCGTCTGTGGATTACGGCATTGGCTGCGCAACCATCAAACAACACACCCCGTGATGGGCCCTAAGCTACCCACCGGGCCTAGGGCAGGGGCGCCCCACGTCTGAGCTGTACCCTTGGTTGTGAATTCTCCAGATATCCAGCTGACGGCACGCGGCACGCGACATGCGCCACCGGTCAATTCGAAAACGGCACCAGGACCTTCCGCCGCGCCGGCGCATCAGATGGCGCCGTTCGTGACGCATTGTGTTCGTGCATTTCAGCGTAACGCGGTCCGAGGCTTGGACACATCTGACTCCGCTCGCTCCCCCCCCCCCCCCCCCCCCAACCCACACAACAGATACGGACAAAAATTTGATCCTGAACTTTTCTCACCGATCGCCACGCATGAAATCTGGGCTCATCAAAATAATTTTAACTACGTCAATATCTAGCGACATATGAGTCTACTGCTTTGCCCCACGCCGCTCCAGCGTGACTGACCTGGCGACGTTGGGTGCTGTGCGATGGCGTGATGCGGCTCAAGCGCAACTGACCTGGTGACGTCGAGTGCCGCTTGGCGGCGTGGTGCGACTCGGGCGTGCTGGAGCGCGGCCGCGAGGCGCGCCAGTCCGAACTGTGCGACGACCAGCGCCGCTTGGCCGCCCGGCGCGAGGGCGGCGGCTCTGTGGACAGCGGCCCGCTGTCAGCCGCCTCCCAACCAGCACGCGACGCACCTGATCAGCGCGCACACTGACCAGCCAGCCGCCCAGCTGGCGGCAGGTGTGTCGTGACTCCGACACCTCACAAACACTGAACGGATCTGGGTACTGTAAGTCGACATGAAATTCAGATGCTCCCCCTTCTCGGCCATTTTCGCAAGCTGTCCAATGTCGACGCATGCGCAGCCAGTGAGACGGGCAGATGCACAGCGAAGGCGCGAGAATAACCCAGTTGCTTGCACCCCACGGACTGCCGAGCCCATACCGCAGACAACAGGGAGGGCGATGGGGCGGGGGAGCAGCAGCTGGCCGCGGGTCGCTCTGCAGCGCTCGACCCACCAGGCGGGTGTTCTGGCGACCTGTGGCGGGCGCGGGAGGCGCCGCCAGTGGCACGGGTCGCCGCCGACGCCGTCGTCTTGGGCGGCACCTTCGCACACTTGCTGCAGCCGGCGCCGTGCGGTTCGGCCGTGTAGAAGTTCTCACAGCACATGAGCTCCTCGAACAGCGCCTCGAGGAAGGTCCACAGTTGGGTGTCCTTCTCGATGGCTGGCAGACGGGCGGTCAGCTGCTGGCCGCCGGAGCCGGCTGACGCGACAGGGACCGGTCAGCGTCGCACTCACATCACTGCTGCAGCCAGGACACAAGGCACAGCAAGCACTCCACAGGCACATCAAAACTTCACGACATGGAGTCCGTTATATAGTACAAACCTGCACTCGGAGTCCATGTAAAAAACAGGTGCGGCGGATTTCTTCGCAGAGCGTTCAATATGACATTACTTTACAGAACACACCACAAATGCGTTGCATCAAACACGGTTGACGCACGGCCGTTGTTCACTGGTTGGCATGAAAGCCACTTTTCCACTTAGATTACCACTACTGATGATAATTCGCACGGCCGTTGTTCACTGGTTGGCATGAAAGCCACTATTCCACTTAGATTACCACTGCTGATGATAATTCGAAGATCAAGCATATACAACGATATATGTTGTCCTTCACTGGACGCTGTCCAGCTGAGCCGTCTACGGGCCGCACGCGGCGCCTACCTGTGATCTGGACCTTGCCGTCGCCGGTCTGAAGAAGGCCGAGCACCTGGGCCGGCCGCTGGGCCGCGTCTACGCACGCCTGCACGCACTCGCGCAGCACGCGGTTCAAGTTGCCCGGCCCGAACCGCTCAGGCAACTGCGTCACGCGTGCGCCGTCCAGGTACGGGCCGCACGTGCAGCCGTGGTTGACGTACACACATACTGGCGGCGGACAGAGCGGGACGGTCAGCCATCAAACGGCACACACACGCACGCACGGGCGGCGGACAGAGCGGGACGGTCGGTTACCACACGGTACGCACACGCACGGGCGGCGGACGGAGCGGGACGGTCGGTTATCACACGGCACGCACACGCACGGGCGGCGGACGGAGCGGGACGGTCGGTTACCACACGGTACGCACACGCACGGGCGGCGGACGGAGCGGGACGGTCGGTTATCACACGGCACGCACACGCACGGGCGGCGGACGGAGCGGGACGGTCGGTTATCACACGGCACGCACACGCATGGGCGGCGGACGGAGCGGGACGGTCGGTTACCACACGGTACGCACACGCACGGGCGGTGCACGAAGCAGGACGGTCAGCCATCAGACGGCACCGCGATCATGTCATGTGGCACAGCGAATCGCAGAGTTATCCAAAACCAATCCGCACAACGCGCCGCAGGGACAACGGGAACACACGAAGGAGGTCAACTCAACGCGTGGTGTCCAGGGAAGTGGGGATACAAGACTCGCGGTCCGAAACAGAAGGCATGCGACGTCAGCCGTGACGTCACATTCCGAATTGATCTCATCAGCACCATACAGTGCAGAGGGCCGACCGGTCGGTGGCGCGAGCCTGTCCGGGCCGGGTGCGCGTCCGCGCGGCTGCCGCACCTGTGGCAGAGCCCGGCGCCGGCCGGCTGTCGCCGCTCGACGTGTCCGGCTCGGTGACGGTGATGGCCAGCGGCTTGGTGGCGGCCGGCGGCACCGGCGTCAGCTCCTCGCCGTCGGCGCCGGCGGCCGGCGCGCTGTTCAGCCGCGGCGGCGGCGGCGCGCTCAGCCGAGCCGCCTTGTAGCGCGCGCTGACAGCCGCCGCTGGCGAGCACAGGGCGGTGGTCACCAGTGCCCCGGCAGCGAAGGCACAGCCGACGACGGCACAGCTGGTGGCACAGCTGAGGGCACAACTGATGGCACAGATGACAGCACAGCTGATGGCACGGCTGATGGCACAGTGCACCAATGCACCAGTGCCTCCGCCGTGTCGATTACACATTGATACCAGTCAAATGGAGTCCACGGATATGAGGTTCCGATGGCATGAGCGTGCGCGTTCATAGAACGAACGTGCGCGCCAGGAACATACATACTTTTCTGTCCGGGCGGCTGGAGCGGGTGGCCGCTGCGGCTGCACCAGCCCACCGGGAAGATATCGCGCGAGTCGAACCGGCACCAGTAGTCAAACGCGCCGCGCCAGCCGTCGAACGTGATGTGGATCATCTCACCCGTCACGGCCCCTGGCGGAGAAAGGACAAGCCCCTGGGGTCACCTGGCCGCACCGCGTCCGCTCGTCGGCACCACACGCGTTTACCCAGCGGCGACGCCAGGCTTTACTCCAAACACGACCATGCAGACGGACGTGTTGAGATGAACAAGACCATCTCAGGAACGACGCGGTCTTGAAAGGAAAACGACACGAGCAACACCAGAGCTTTGTTATCAACTGCAGGCAGTACGCACGTACCGACGGTGCCGGCGCAGATCAGCTGCGGATTTTTCTTGTCCACGGCCTCCAGCTTCATGCCGACCTCGAAAAAGTTGCGGCTGGGCGTGGGAGGCTCCTTCTTGAATGCCTTCTCGGGCGCCATTTCTGCGCCGTTTAGCGTCTTCAGCAAGAACATTGGCCACGACGAGGCGTTCATGCGAAAACCTGGCGACGGCGGACGGGGCGATGGTCAGCTCGGAACAGCCCGGATCCTGGACTGGGCCCTGAACAGGACGGGCCACACATCCTGATCGACAGTTTTCCATCAGACGAACGAAGGGGGGGGGGGGGGATAGGTCGGCGCGTCCCCACTCCGTGTCATTTCCAAACTGAGAATGATAGAGCGCCGTGGAGACAAGACAATAGATTAGCCTCAACGATATCTCAGTAGTGGTTAGAAGTTTCATGTTGCTAGGTCAAGACTTACTCAAAAACTACAAACATTGCAAAAACTACTTACATTGTTCGTGTCAAAACACGAGCAATGAATGCCTAGGAAAAACTAAAATTTTTGGGGCGATTGCACATGCCATGGAGATATCGCCTGAAAACCTTAGAGGTGTCGCAATGCCCCCCCCCCCCCTCCCCAGCCATGGCGAGGGTTGAAAGCTCCAACATCACTGGACACTTCCATAGGAATGCAGACAAACAAGCCAAACATAAATGTGCGAAGGCGAGGACGCGTCGGTACAGCATCACACAAAAATTCAACTCTCTAAAAAGTGCTGACCAAAACAGAGAAACTCCACCCCTACACAGCCCAGAAGTTTTACCCGCCACCCCCACCCCGCTCCCCGAGGCCACGTCGGCCGTACTACCCATCCCCGCCAGAATGGCCGGTGTTGCCTCTGCTGCAACTCTCCCCGACACCGGCTGGCAGCCGACTGACCGAGCGGGGGCTGCAGCATGCCGTCATGCTTCTCGCAGTGACCGATGGGATGGATCTCGTTAGAGTCCACCAGACGCCAGAAGTCGTTCTTGTTGTCGCCGCCGTCGAGCCGCAGCCGCAGCCGCGGCCCCAGCACGCCCACCACGGTGGCGATGCAGGTGGAGGTGACGTTGCGCGGGTCCAGCGCCTCCAGCTTCATGTCCGCCTGGAACTCGTTGGAGGGCGGCTGCGAGCGCTGCTTGAAGCAATGCTGCGGCGCAGGCCGGCTCTCCGTCTCGCGCAGGTACTCCTCCCAGTCGAACTGCTGGATCGCCTCCTGCATCGCCATCGACGCCATCGACGGACGGTGGGCTGCCGACGGGGGACGTATCATACTCATCCGCCGGCCTTGAAAACTGACCAGTGTTTGAGCATCACGGCCACAGCTGTGAGTAGCAGGTGTAGCCCTATCATCCTTACTGTTTGGTCCCAAAATCATTGTTGTTGCTTTTGGGGAGGGCGACACGCGCCGTCGCACATCTCTTCAATCGGCCTAAAGCATCGGTCTGTCCTCTCCCCAGCTATCACTTTTACCAGACATCGATCCTGTTCATGCCCCTGATCCCTGTGACACAGCTGCTGGCTCGTGCGCGGCGAGACGGAGGACTAGGCTCACCTCGCTTTTGTGTGGAGCCGTTGCCGAAGGTGGGCAGCAGCGGGGAAGCGATGGAAGCCGCCTGGTGGCGGGCCCGACAGTCTGCCGAGCAGAACAGCAGCGAGCGGCCCGCCTCGCCCGGCTCGCGCACTGGCTCGCCGCGCACCACGTCGTCGCAGTGGACGCACGCGCTCTGGATCACCACACATAGCCGCCGATTAGGCGACGCACAAACACATCGTCAGTGCTGCCACAGAGCATACAGAGGCGTCGCAACGTGCGACGAATCCGCATCTGTCAACTACCTACCTGATTGGTCTTGACAAACAAGCTGAATGTGATGCTGCATTCTACTAGATTTTATTAAGAAACATGGTGTCCCACTTAATTACAGCCCAATGAAATACACAAAACAACAGTAATGCAAAACAAAAATCCTATTCATAGTATTATGGTAAAATCAAGTAAGAATGCACATACCTTGTTGTAAGCCTTTCTGTATTCAGTCAGGCACAGTTCAGAGCAGAAGTCCTTTTTTCTTGTCTGAGTTGGAAGAACATATTTCAAGGACATTTTAGGCTCCAGACACCAATTGCACACCTTGCTCTTGGCTCCTCTGGCAAGGCCTGAAAGATGAGATGTCAGCAACTTACATCACACTTCAATCAAACCACCCAAGCCTGATTATCAGCCAAATTGAGCTGTTTTGTGCTGTCTGTTTTGTTAACAACTCTGCTGAACAGCACCATCTTATCACACCAGAGGAGCACTGGGTGAGAACATTTACTGCCACAGGTATGGAGTGGAGTCTGCAGTGGCAGATGGGCATAGGTCCATACATGTGGCCAGTATTGGAATCAAGGATGCTTATAACCATTTGGGACCATTGGGCTCTGGGAATTAAGTCAATTTCCAAATGAATAGAAATCACACATGGAATAACCAAGTTGATTCACCAAAATTCAAAAAAAAATTATTTGCATTGTGAGCCCTGACTTTTTGACAGTTGGTAAGCCTCACATGAACATGCACAATGCCTCAATAGTTGTGGAGGCACTCGGCAAAAGGCGTAACTGCATCTCTGACATTGAGAGGAACAAACCAGGGTTGGTTGGAGAAGACACGCTGAAATCTGGAGAGGCCAACTCGATACGAAAATGACATCTGAAATGGAAATACATGATACCTGTGCATTCTGCCTGTGGGGAGCATTGGAACAGAAAATGTGATACTAAGCAGAATCAGCAGAAACATGTGCCTTCCCCACTGGCTACACCCACATACTCAATAACTGAATTCAACTGCAGAGTGCATGGTCCACATTGCTATAACACCTGCAGGGCTAACAAACCTGGACTCAACCTGGGACTCAGGATTCAATGAACTGGACTTTCTGAATGAATTAAATAATAAATGGAACTGGATATAAACTGAAATCTGGAATGAACTGGCTGCTTATACACAGTGAAAACAAATTACCTTGGATGACAAATAGATTCACACTGGCCATGTTACCTTGCTCTGCTGACCAAACTTATTTTGTGGCAGAGTATGCCATTGACTCATGTCTTAGGCATGCCTCCAGTATGCCCCTTGACTCATGTCTAAGTCATGCCTTGAGATTGTGCCCCTTGACTCATGCCTAAGACACAATGCCAAAAGCTATGTACATATCCCATTCAGCCTGTGCCCAGAAAGGTGCACACCAAGCTCAAGCTGGTTTTATTTTGTCATGCGTGAACCCTGGAATGAGCCCTGAATAATCATCCCAATGTGCAGCATAATGCACAAAGTGCTGTAAAGGTATATGCACAAGTGGCATAATGCATACTGTTCAACATCCACACTGCAGTGCATTCCACTGAGAACACATACCTTTCATTGGCAGCATCTTGATGTCAGGGCTGAAAACATGAAACAGGTGAGTTTTGCTTTAAGTAGCCTTCCACTTGCACTTTAGTTTTCTTAACACTGCAACATTTTGTTCGAACATGTTATAAATCACCAAATGGAAACCACACTGATAGAAGCAAGCATGACAGGTTGTATCAATAAGCACACTGAGCCACAGGATACATATTGCAAAGCACAGATTTGTATTGTTATCTCCTTTATGCTTCAAATACACTCATGAGCAGCCTGTCTTTATGGTGCTAAGATGTGTCAGGACATCTACTCTTCACCTCTTGGCAATAGACTATATTATTGATTTGGCAGATGAGGTGTAGGCAATGCATCAATATTTAAGGGAGTGTTTCACATCTGGAGATACTGAGGCAAGTATCTGATATGGTGACATAGCCTCACTTACAACCATTGGTATACTTTTAAGTGAACAGGGCAGCTCTTGACCGCACATCTCTATTTAGTGCACAAGCTTCTCAATATGTCATTGCACCTTGCATAATATTGAGATCTAATTGACTACCATTATATCTGGACATGGTGCTCATGAACACCAGCTATGAAAAACCTGTCAATGATGTTTCTTTACTTTGATCACTTCATGTTCAGTGGAACAACAGGATTTCAGTGATGTCATTATGGCATCATGGATGTCTTGGTTACCTTGAAATAAGTCTCCCTGATATAGTTTGCACATAATAGTGGATGTGTAGACCAGAAACTAAAATAGGCTAAATCTTCAGCAGGGCATGACTGTAAACTGCACCAGATGATCTTTAATATGGCTAGTTCAGTTCAAACCCCTATATAAACAAACCATAAAAATACATCCTTTAATGTCAAAAATTATCATTAACACCAGGATACTAACTTTTAACATGCTTTCCATGTAAGATGCACATTGTATAAGAAAAAAACAAAGATGAAACTAATAAATAAAAAGCCAAAAAGTATGATAAAAACATGAAACCCTGAGCAAGCAATTTAAGGTATGCATTATCATTGTGGGGCATTAAACAGCATGCTGGCAAGTGGGGCTGCTGCCCAGTCCATCATCTGTCTTCTGCATGAGCACACAATTCTCCCAACAACTTCTGTGCATGCATCATTAACAGCACAATTCAGCAAATAGAGCCAAATTTGAGCACATAAAATCCAGCCTCAGTACAGTCCTCAATTTCAGTGTAGAATCCATGTTTTAAAAATATGACACTGCTACAGAATAACACATTTTTCAAGCAAAAATAAATAACAATTCAGCCAACTTTGGGCATGACAATAAAAAGCGTGACTCTGAAACATTGTCAAATAAATATTTGTTGTGCACAACACTTCAAATATATAAGCTCACTCTATGCCACATCATCCATTAGTAATCTCAGCGCAGGCTGCGCGCTCACGGTATTCTCCTATCCAATTTAACTTACGTAGAGCGTTTAAAAAGGCTCCCAATCCCGCGAGTTTCTTAAAATTGGTACATGGATTAGGTAATTTGGCGTTCTAAAAACCGTCCTGTTAACAAACTAAACCCCCTTATATGATGCAAAACATCCGCAATGTTCGCACACGACCCCACGCCTCCTCCCCGCAACGCCAGTGTTACAGTATTGCAAATGTCAGCAAATGCGCGTATCTCAAATGGTCATACCGCATCTTAACGGCGACGAAAACGACAAGTATTCTAGAGGTATTTCTATGAACAGAAATGTCTCTAAAAATATTTTGCGATGCCGCGGTAATGCCCGCAGTTTGACTCTACATTGAAATTCCCGCGTTCCGTTTGATGTTTCATGCAGGCAATTTCTGCAAAACAAAATCAAAGTAGGACCCAGGGGAAAAGAGCAGCCGGTCCATGTCTCCAAGATGGCTAACGTCCCGCAAGCAATGCGATATTTAGAGTCTAAACTTCGAAGGCAACGCAATAATTTTTACCAAAGGAGTGTGTTTTGGGGCATGTCATGCCATGTGATTCATAGGCACAGGAGCATTTCGAAAATAAGGGGGCAGGCTAATGGGTATCTTCCAGGAACTTTTTATGAGAAGCAAGCCCGGTGACGGGAAGCGGCAGGAGGTAAAGGTGGAGATTATTGTCCGCCTTGAATTCGGATAACAGATTTCGGAAATCAGTAAATGTCATGGTTGCTATGCTAGATATACACATACAGCTGCTTCGCACTGGTGCACAATCTTGCCTATTCGACTTACGTATGCCATTCGGTAAATACATTTTCCCAAGACTATTTGTTCACTTTCTCTGGGGGACGAAATTCCACGACCTGGGCCGCATTCGATCTGTCGCCAGCACTTTTGTCAGCACCAATCACAACCCAGTATTCGTTTTAAGTCACGTGGCCTGCTGCGTCAAGCGCCGGCTGACGATGATGCCAGCGTGTTTTGTCAGCCCGTCAGCATGGAGAGAAAGCGCTACCAGATTAAAAAATCATTCCGAAGCGGGAGTTCAATTTGGTAGTTCTTGCGTTGACGAGTAGGTTGGGTGAGGTTGGGGCACTTGTCCCTGATCTTGGGGAAAATGCGACGTGAGAAAGATAAGGAGGGAATTGAAATGCCTAGTGCGGCCACGAAAAGGTGACAGTGAGACAGCGTTTGGTGTGGTGTGGGGTTGCGTTGCTCAGGACACTAATAGCGTTAAAAACGAACACTTGAGATGAGAGCGCAGAAATTCAAATGCATTGCAAATAGGAAGAAGCACTCAACACACAGATGGGATAGATGATGGTAATGCCAGAGCATAAGCCACGATTCCAAACAGCACCTATCTGAATTTTAAGTCAATAAACTGCAGAAACCAGGAGTTGAACGGCTGCATGAAATATAAACAGGTGCTTTCAATTTGCAGTGGTTCAGTGGACTGTTTCTAAACCGATAAAATGCTGACGCTTTGTCAGAATTTTTATTTGTGTTCTGCAGACATATTAAGAGCCCCGCGAAGGTAGAATGAAGATCGAAATGGGCCACCAATGTGTATCAAGATGTTCAAACCATATCTTAAAATGTTCAACATTCAGTCAGAATTGAACAGTTGTACAAATAATACGACGAAGTTTTGAACATACACGCTTGCAAATCTTAGCACCAATAACCTTGACGTCAGGCGTTGCGGTCCCCGTGGACCACGCGGCATTGGCCCAGCGGCGAATACCGAGTCGTGGCCGACGGGTGGACAAAAACGATCAAGGCTACTTGAGAACACTACGCAGACGTGACGTCACCTTAAATTTGATAGCCCGTAGTATGGTTTTTGGCTGATGCTACGCGATGGTTGGTAGGTACTAGTAACATGATTACGAATGAAGATTTCGCCGATGAACTGGGTAGCCATCAGGTTCTTTATCTTTATTCAAATGTTATGTGAATATATATTTTACATTTTTCATTTAAACCCTCTAAAGACAAATCAGTACTACGATCTGCTTCCAAAAATACATCCTACTAAACCACGTTTCCCAGGTTCAATACCCGCGCCATATTCGTCGTAATCAACTTGCCTGAACATTTAGATATAATGCCTCATTGTGAATACATGTATACTATGTGTAATATTTACATTGAATTTATAATTGGGCAATAATTTTCCATTTATCACCGTACTGCAGTACCTAAATTGAGTGAAATGTGAAAATAGGTATAGGTTATCCAAGGAGGGTATCTATATAAGGTATCTATAAGATAGGAATCTAGGTTAATGTGAGGAGAGCGGGTGTCAACAGTTTGCTGCCACTTTACTATGATCTTACTAGTCGTTGCTCAACTTGCAAATACTTAATGTCGGATGGCTTAAGTGGAAAAGGTAAGCAGGGAATAATACCCGGCTAACCTTATATATCCTCAAGACTATTGCCCAGCTGAGATATGGGTGACCGCTCTTTGACTGAAAACTTGCAAAACGTACCAGAAACCGTCCAATTTTACAGTAAAACCTGCTATGTTGAACTGAAATGGCGCACTCTGCATTTGCGCCTCCCAAGGCTCACCATCACTGCCTCCATTAGGCCAAGCCAACCCTGCATCCACCCTGGCAAAGCCTCTCCTAAGGCTACAGGATGTGCATTCCAACTTCTCAATGTGCGTCCCAGGATGCTGCAAGCCCGTCCGGGCCGCCGTTTCTCATCCCCACCCTATGCTGTTGTTGTATGTTGTGCTCTTTTGCATGGACTGTTTCTAAGCAATCCTGGCTAGAGTTCTCTGGGAGATTGCGAAAGGAAACCTTCATCTGGTGCGCGGCGGAAGCGGCGAAGTGGGCGCAAGGGTCGAGGAACAGCGGAAGCCGTGACGTTTTTGGCGAGAGCAGTGTCGGGGAGGGAGAAACGGCGAGGGGGCGCGTAGCTTGGAGGGCAGGGCACCGAGCTGTGTACGCTGTTGGAGGCCAGCAGGAGTGACGTGTTGCGTGGCTCAAATACATAGCATTTTTTATTAGATTCGCTAGCTGCTTGTTACAGAGAAATCACTGGTGAATGAGCTACCCCATCTCTCTGCAGGGGCAAACTGGCAGCGCATTTCAGCAATAAATTTGCAGCTCTAGTGCAAACCAACAACATTCCCCTGTTACAAATGCTTCATTGAATGTGTTAGGTCAACAAAATTTGGTTTGTGGAAGTATTTCTGCTTACACAGGCCGCAAAAGCGACATTTTCACGCGGCCATAGCATTGGTGCCATACGATTTCGTCCCATGATGACGTCACAGTATCGCTACTCAGAATGCAGTAATGCGGGGCTTTAAAGTGATGACCTTGCTGGAAAAAGTACCTTTGAAAACTTGAATGGATGAGTAAAACAAATCATGTAACGTAGTTTTGAGCACGCGCCCTCGCAAAGCTTATCAACAAAAACCTCCATATCAGGCGTCGCAGTCTCCGCGAGCCGCGCAAGGTATGCCTGGCGGCCAGCACTGAGCCGTGACCAAAGGGCGGACGAAAATGATAACGCATCTGAAAGCAGTTAGCATTTGTACATTAAAACAGTAAGTTGTCTCAAAGCGTTTGAACGTTTTGGGACATCAAATTGTGCATTTAAAAGGTGGTCCAGACGTACATTTCATCTGTGCGACTCTTGGATGATGAGAACCGATTGGCCCTTACAGCACCACGAAGAAGTGCTGGAATCTGGTGATGGAGCTGGATGAGTACAGGCAGAACCTCTATTTTTCGTATTGTTGAAACTGTTCGTCTGTCCAGAGGACATATGAGCGCGACGCCCGCCGCCTGGTGTCACTTTCAGTGGCCAACACCGTTCGGTTTTACGGAAGCTGCAACCCAGACCATCGCTGCCCTTCCTCCCAAGATTGCGAGCGCGCATGTTTGAACTTCAAACCCTGTGATGTGATTTGTGTCACTCATTATTCTGCAAAATAAAGAATGTTCTCAGGAAATATGGGTGATCTTGTCCTTTTTTTAGCTCATTTTGACCCAGTTCATTCAACAATAATGATGCCCCCTTGTTCCGTTCCGGGCCCCATGAGTAGTACACCACTCGCGGTCAAGGGCCGGAGTGTCATTCCGTCCCGTCGCGGGTGTCTTCAGGCTGTCATTCTGGCGACACGGGGTGGGATCCGCTGGCCAATGCAGTGGCCCTTAGAGCGATACATCATATCACATTATTCCCTTCCCTAACCCAGAGGTCCTTTTGGCCTGTGCGATTGACCCCGGATTAACACAGAACCCTTACTGACGCAACAACATCCCTGGTCGCCGCAGTTGATCCAATAACTTTCACATAAACTACAGCTTCAGATTTTTCCCTGTGTTCCCCAGAGACCTTGAGGACCGCTTGAGCGTAAATTATGTAGAAATGGCGTCCCAGATTTATCTTGACATGGCTAGCCCATGCTTATCTTGGCATGTTTAACATTCCGTATAAATCTATCACTGATAAAATTATCTAGCATGGTTTTGAACATGCGCGCTCACAAATCTTAGCAACAACAGCCTCAACGCCCGGCGTTGCAGTCTCCATAGGCCTCGCTGTGTCAGTCACGGGGCTGTGACGCTGAGCGATGGCCATTGGGCATGCGAAAAAGATGATGCATTTTGACGAAGATTTAGTGTGTTAGTATGTTACACGACAAACTCCTGCTTAACTCGCTCAGCACTCAGCGCTCCCCTCAGCCCCGTTGTCCTTTTGTCTTCTGCCCTGTGCCATCATCTGCTACCCCACCCAGTGCCATTATCTCCTGTCCTGTCCCATCCGTTGTCTTATGTCCTGCGCTCTTCTACGCTGTGCATTTCCACCCTGCTTCGACTGCTGATCTGTTTTGGCCTGTTCTTTACTATTCTGCTGTTTCCTGCCCTTCCGTAGTCAAGCATTTCAGGCATAATTTGGGTGTTTCATATAATGCCGCGTTTCACGATCGTGATTATATATATATATATATATATATATATATATATATATATATATATGTATATATACATCAATATTTACCAACATTTTACAATACTCACAAGACAGAATGAACCTACGCGTCAGCCACGTGGTTCGCAGCCGTGTTAAGCGCACGATTAATTTAGAACAGGTGTTCCGGAGTGTGTCAGCACCTCCAAGCACGTACCAGCAGCCGCCGCAGTCAGCAACGGCGATCAGAAAGCCGTGACTGTATGAGAGACATTTCATTAAAAGTTATCGTTTCAGGGACTCGTGTTCCATTAGGTAGCGTGAAGCAGAGCAAAACAGCGCAACACCATGCACTGACAGCGCCGCGCAGCCTGTGCAATGTCTTTGTCTCAACGTTACGACTCCGCACTCTTTGTCAACAGATAAACGGACAAACGACAAAGTTAATTGGTCACACTCAAACAGCGTTTTTAAGGCATTTGGTGCCTTATTTATGGTCTTTGAGAGATGCTTGTATTCAGTGATTTTATATACTTCAGCACTGTCTTCAGTACTTACACACCCAAAAATATTGCTGCGTTATTTTTTGCCTAAAACTGCTTTATAGTTGCCGCACAAAAAGCGCAACAATGTTGAATACAAAAATACACCCAACCTGGAATACATTACGAAAAACAAGCAAAAGTTTCAGCAACACAAAAATTGGAAACAATATGGGCTATGGAATTGATTTATAATTCTGCCGGCCTGGGTCCAGACCACATTCTAGTATGTTTTCTGTAGGGGAAGATGCCTTTACCCCCCAATAAATAATAACGCAAATAACGCAATACATCCACTTTTGAAACTTCGTCTCCCCAGTGGAAGTGACGTTAAGACGCATGCACAATTGTAGGAAACTGGATAGCCGGTTTGCCGAATGGTATGGATTCGTCGAGAAAATAAGACTGCGCACCTGGAAAAACAGTAGGACTACGATACATGGTGGCAAGTAGGTGTCGGGACATTCACTTATCTCTTTAAATTTGGTGCATTAAGAGCCGGAAAATTCATCCCACTCCCCGACTGCCGGGCTTGCCTCCACAATACAAACTCCTTAAATTAAGTGTTCCACATTTGTATGGGGTTTTGAACGAAATAACCATATCGGAGATCATTCGTTGCAATTCATAGCCCTGCCCTTCTCAAGCACCCTTCTAGTTTCTGAGCTACACACTTGCAAAGATGTACAGACTTTCTAAGGGGAGACCATTTCAACATTACCCAGGCATCCATGTCGCCAAAATGACGTCACTCAGATCCTGCCATTTCATTGTGCGGCAATCAAGGCCAATAAAAATATAATTGCTGAGCTGATCATCGCTGGCGTTCGTGAGCACGATTTCCGGAAACAACGGCCGTCAATTCGCTGTCGAGTCAATGTTGAGGAAAGTGCGGCAGCATAATCAATGGCGTATTGAGAAACATATCTACTGAACAGAGGTATTGCGTTGCCTAGAGCAACCTTCTCCGCTAAAAAGTATCCCTATAGGCATAAGTGAGCGTATTATATCATATCCGATTTTTACTTCAATATCTTCAAATGTGAAACGCTTCCTTTAAATGTGCCCCGTGCCTGCCCCCACACTTTTTGAACTGTTCCAACGCCTACGCATGTGTACACAATTTAGAGCCCGTACTCCGCCGTGAGGCGCTGGGATTTTGCCGTCACCGGCTGATTGTTTTATTAGGCAACAAGCGTGCCCGCCGTGCTCCGTCCTGACCAGTGCACCCGCGCTGGCCCGGGCACTGACAGAGCCGTCAATTATCCGACGAGTGGCGTCAGCAGCCGAGGACCACTCCAACTGCGCTCGGGGCCACTAGGAGTCTGGCTCGGCTCACGCCGGCGCGCGGCTCATGCTCGCAGTCGAAGGTCAAGTGGCGGCCAACATGCGCAGGCGAGCCATCCAACTTCACACACCGGCTCTGGAATGTCACTATGTTCAGTTCATACTAGCACGCTCATATGTACACATACATATACTGCCGCCAGCGTTACAGAAAGAAAGGCACATATTCCACTGCATCACAAGCTACAGGACTCGCGTCACACCAGGCTCACTGAATCGCATGCGCTCAGCGCACTAACTCTGACCTCGCCGCGCTCACTTCTCGTCAGACTTCACGTCAAGCCAGGCGCCCGGCCCTCCCGGGCGGGAAGCGACCTTGCCACGACGATCGGGGCATGCCTGTCTCAGGTTTCCCTTCAGTACTGGCGCGCGCGCTCATTTGTATCACATGGTGTCCGTTCCACTGCACACCCGCTGCTCCCCGGCCTCACTACCGCCTCCGCCTGCGCCGCTGCCCTGAGTCCGCCTCCGCTGGCGGGCTGGCCGCCTCGGCTGCCGCCTGGGCGGCAGCCGGCTCCTCCTGGCTCGGGGCTGCTGGCGCCGCTGCCGGCTCCCGCTCAGCTGCGGTCTCACCCTGAGACTCCTGTTCCGGCTTTGTCTCAGCCTTAAGGCCTGCGTCCGCCTGAGGTTCTGGCTCGGGTGTTGTTGTTGCCTGAGGCTCCAGTTCGGGTGCGGGTGTTGTCTCGATCTTGGGTTCCGGTTCAGGTGTGGTCTCAGCCTGAGGCTCAGGTTCAGGAGTGGTTTCAGCATTAGACATCGGCTCAGGTGTGGTCTCAGCCTGGGGTTCTGGCTCAGGTGTGGTCTCAGCCTGGGGTTCTGGTTCAAGTGTGGTTTTAGCCTGGGGCTCTGATTCAGGAGTGGTCTCAGCCTGGGGTTCTGGTTCAGGAGTGGTCTCAGCCTTAGACATCGGCTCAGGGGTGGTCTCAGCCTGGGGCTCTGGTTCAGGAGTGGTCTCAGCCTGGGGCTCTGGCTCAGGTGTGGTCTCATCCTGGGGCTTTGGTTCAAGGGTGGTGTCAGCCTGAGGCTCCGGTTCAGAAGTGGTCTCAGCCTGAGGCTCCGGTTCAGGAGTGGTTTCAGCCTGAGGCTCTGGTTCAGGTGTGGTCTCAGCCTGAGGCTCTAGCTCAGGTGTGGTCTCATCCTGGGTCTTTGGCTCAGGAGTGGTATCAGCCTGAGGTTCCGGTTCAGGAGTGGTCTCAGTCTGAGGCTCCGGTTCAGGAGTGGTCTCAGCCTGAGGCTCCGGTTCAGGAGTGGTCTCAGCCTGAGACTCCGGTTCAGGAGTGGTCTCAGCCTGAGGCTCCGGTTCAGGAGTGGTCTCAGCCTGAGGCTCCGGTTCAGGAGTGGTCTCAGCCTGAGGCTCTGGTTCAGGAGTGGTCTCAGCCTGAGGCTCCGGTTCAGGAGTGGTCTCAGCCTGAGGCTCCGGTTCAGGTGTGGTCTCAGCCTGAGGCTCTGGTTCAGGAGTAGTCTCCGCCTGTGACCCCAGTTCGGAGAAAGTATCAGCATGTGTTTGAGATTGGTCTGTGGCCTCCATCTCCTCAATCATCGCGCCGCTGCCTTCCCCGGTCTGCTCCAGCGCTTCTATGCTGTCATCCACCACCTCGTCCAGCACCTTAGCCTGCCTGTCAAGCGGCTTGCCGAACACCCGGCCGCGCTTGACGGCCACCAGCTCGGCGTCCTCGTCCTTGACACCGTGGTGCAGCTCGTCATCAGCTAGTGTGGGCGGGTTGACCGGCTCGCCAGACACCTCGTTCAGGTCGGGCTCGGCCTGGGCGTCTGTCTTGACGTCCTCCAGCTGCTCCGTCAGCACCTCGTCCTCGCTGACGTCGGCCTGGCCGAAGGGTGTCGCCGGCTCGGGCGTGCCCTCCGGCTCCATGGCACCGGGTGCGTCGGTGACTGGGGCGCCCGCGTCGAACGCACCGTTCTCCCACTCTGGCTTGATGCCCATCTCGGCCCCCAGCTGCAGCTTCTCCTCTAGAGTCAGATCCTTGGGCACAGACTCTGGCTCGGCACTGGTCTTGGGCTCCCGCTCGGCACTGGTCTCGGGCTCTGGCTCGGCACTGGTCTTAGGCTCCGGCTCCGCACTGGTCTCGGGCTCTGGCTCGGCAGTTGACTTCGGTTCCTCAGAGGTCGCCGCCTCCGCTACGAGGGCGGCGTCGGCCACAACGGCGCCATTTTCATCTCCCGACCCGCCAGTTGGCGCCTCGGTCGAGCCACTCTCATCAGCATGCAACACAGCAGCTGACTTTGGCTCTTCCCCTGCAGTTGATTCTGGCTCTGGCTCCGCGGTCGACTCTGGCTCCGGCTCGGCAGTTGCCTTTGACTCTGGCTCAGCAGTTGCCTCTGGTTCTAGCTTCACGGTCGACTCTGGGTCCGGCTCAGCAGTTGACTCTGGTTCCGGCTCAGCAGTTGACTCTGGCTCTGGCTCTGGCTCGGCAGTTGCCTCTGGTTCAGGCTCAGCAGTAGATTCTGGCTCTGGCTCAGCGGTTGCCTCTGGCTCCGGCTCAGCAGTTGACTCCGGTTCAGGTTCAGCAGTTGCCTCTGGCTCCGGCTCAGCAGTTGTCTCCGGTTCAGGTTCAGCAGTTGACTCTGGTTCCGGCTCAGCAGTTGACTCTGGTTCCGGCTCGGCAGTTGACTCTGCCTCTGGCTCGGCAGTTGCCTCTGGCTCAGGCTCAGCAGAAGATTCTGGCTCTGGCTCAGCGGTTGCCTCTGGTTCAGGCTCAGCAGTAGATTCTGGCTCTGGCTCTGTGGTCGACTCTGGCTCAGGCTCAGCAGTTGACTCTGGCTCTGACTCCACAGTCAACTCTGACTCTGGCTCGATAGCTGCTTCGTCAGCGTCGTGTGCTGTAAATGACACATACGCAGACATTAGTCTAGCACGTTCCTGTCAGGTTAACCAACACTTCGCAGACCACGTCAATCGAGGCATTTTTATCGAAGACCAATTCCCATGCTCCGACCATTCACAGGAACACCATTCCAGCGGCCACATATTCACTCGCCCACGTCTTGATGAAATCTGTCAATCAATAACACATTGTAACCGTCCCATTCCGCCCTGTTAAGAAAATATTTCTTCACATATGACAAGCACCTGCAAAAGCAGCATGTGAGCTGGGACTAATTACATGATAACACGACGCGGATTGAATAAGGCCACTGTTAAATTGGGGTTCCACCTTTCGTCCCACTGTCCGGCATCTCCTCATCCCTTCACACGCCCGCAGTACGATGGTGCGTCCACTTTGGAGAGTTGACGTGGCACGCCACCAGAGCCACCATCCGGCGCGCTGGCTCATCTTTGTGCGAGAGACGCTCACCTGGTGGCGACCTGATGACCTGACCTGATGACGGCCGCGGCATCGATGCGATACCGACTCAGTGAGAGGGTCGGTCTGATACTGACATGAAAGCTGGCATCAGAAGATGCAGCAACCAACTAAAAGTGTCCGTGGGCTGGCGAGATATTAGTCGAGGTTTGTATTACGCTAGAATTCAAAGCCAGCAAACGTTAGGGGCAAGGGCGTCAGTAGATAAGCGCACCCATACATTGATATACGTATGCCGTGACAATGCTACAGGAGCATCTAGAAGGCTTGCCGTATGCTTTTGAAGCTCGTCGTCACATGCAGCCGTGTTCAGAGCAGCTACCAGGCGTACTCTCTGCTTCCGTTACAGCTAGACCGCGGCGCGTGCTGACACTGTTACGTACCGGACGCACCGCAGGTCTTCATGTCGGCCGCCAGCTGCATACCCTCCGGGCACCGACAGGTGAAGGAGACGTCCACCAGCGAGAAGGAGCACTGGTGGGAGCACCCGGCCTGGCCCGAGGCGCACGCGTCCTCCATCGCTGCCGATCACAGGCCACAGCGGGCGGTCAGCACGCGGCCGGGACAGAGAAGTCAGCGCTCACTGGAGCGCGACAGGGTCCTAATACACAGAGTGAAGGCATGTTGCACTAGCGCAGTGTTGTCATTGGGAAATGTTGTACAAGCAGTTTCCCTATGGTCTACCGTATCCGAGCACGCACCGTACACTGTTAATTTCCAACATTAACCTAACATGAGGACATGGTACGGCTGTGTGACCGATAGCACGTCTACATCCGTCTGCTCTGCTCATTGTCGCTTCATCCTGCATCCTCACAACGCCCCGTTTATCCGGGACAAGCCGTACGCACCAGCCATGAGTGGGTCTAAGTGTCCTCTGTCGGGACCCGTCCAAGAGCTATACACACACCCCGTATCGGTGTCTCTGTGCAAGCCAGACAACTACAAAGGACCCTGCTGCATTTAGATATATGCATGATGCCCCACCACCATCCAATCTCATTTATCAAATAGCCCTGAAAGGGACACAATTGACCCAAAGGGCTCTTAATCCGAAGCGAACCCAACAAGCGTATGACTGGCAGGTTCCTGGCCATTTAGATCTCTTTTTCCACTTTTACCGAGACGACCTCTATTGGCCCCGAGCATGCTTTCTCCCCCGCAAGTAGCCCACCGTCAGCCGTTTGCCGGCCCCCGTCGGCGGGCGACTCACGCTGAACGGTGACGTCAGTGACGGCGAGACTGCGAGGGGCGGCGTCCTCCGCCGGCAGGAAGTACTCGGTCAGCCGACGCTGGAGGCGATCACTGACCTCGGCCGGCGGCGTCCCCGGCGTGGCGCGGTCCGCCACCAGGTCGTACGTGACCACCACGCTGCCGGGACTGCGGCGACGGACGGCATCAGCCACCGGCGCTGCTCGGCCGTCGGCGCGACCAGGCGTCCGTAATCGCACGCACCGACACAACACCGCACAGCGCCAGATGGACCGCTACATTGACAACTCATTGTCCACGCGATAAATCGCACAGTTACACGGAAAGGCAGCAGCAGGCGGTTTCAAGATATAAAACGCATCCCTGCTATCATAACTTATCGTAATGTACGACCATCCTGGAGCATTTTAACGACTCCGCTTGAGTTCGGCGTCTGGGACACTCCGAATATTGTAGGGCCATTGCATTAAATACTTAATTAGGTTAAACGGTGTTGCAGGGCAGCTATCGTGCGTGGAACCCGGCCGGACTGCATGAAACGAGGAAGTGGCAGCGAGCTTACGAGAATCCGGTGACCTTGGAGCGGATGGGGCCCACGTCAGCGCCCTCCTGCCACTGCTCTGCCGCGTACACCAGCTCCAGCTGTTGGAAACCAGACGTAAGCCGTCAGCCCCTGCCACGAGCGCTGGGGCACAGTCAAGCCACCCTCTGGTGCGAAGGGTGCATAGTGTGGGCTGCGCTGTTTTATTTTCTAACCTAATTCGGATCACCGAGTCTGTTGTCACGAGAACAACATGCAATGAAAGTTTCCTCTGCCATTGAGCATTTGGTGCTGTGTGCAGAGTGATGCTGATCATGTCCTGTGCTACAGCGCGACGGCCTGACGCGATGTGGGCCCTCGCCACAACCCCCTGCGGCACCTGCCGGCGACGCTCTCAGCAGCGGGCCGGCGCCGTGACCACCCCCTGCCGGTCACGCTCCCCAGCAGGACACCCTAAGCAGCGGGCCAGCGGCGCGACCACCCCCTGCCGGTCACGCTCCCCAGCAGGACACCCTAAGCAGCGGGCCAGCGGCGCGGCCACCCACTGAGGCGCCTGGCCATGACGCGGCCTGCTGTAATGGGCACCAGAGCAGCGCGCATGGCATATTATCTGACATCAAGAGCTTTGGAATTTGGACCGCTTTGTCTTATGTTCAGGTAGTGACGAAGATATGTAAAGTCATTGTATGCAAGCACGTAACGCTTGGCATATCATTGCAAATCACTGAATTATGGACTGCATATGACCGTGATCGTCTGCACTGTCGACTGCAACGAAGATCTGTATCTCCTACCCCCCCCCCCCCCCCTACGAGCGTTATGAGTTAGGGCTGATAGTAGCATTTGACCTTTGCATGCTCCTGCTGCGCTTTTAGGCTAGTACGATGGTATTTAGGTTTAAAAGTGCTTCGACTGTAGCGATCATTTACGCTTTTTAGGCTATTCCGTTGCACTGCTTGAATTACAAGTTAATATGTATAGCAAATTCCCCGCCCTTCCAAATATGATACCAGGTGCACATTTGGTACATCCAGGAGCAAGTGCGTACCGTCCTCTACCTGTCTAACCACACGGATAATTCTACGTCACAGATCCAGCACGTAGATAGTTTTTTGTTGCAGTCCATACCAGATGACAGAGCAGCGGGGTACAGATATCATCCAGCTGCACGCAGGCGATGCACATTTAATAACACGCGGTCCTGCGTCCTTTACCTCCCGCTCGACGGTGGAGGCGAGCTGTTTGTACTCGGCCGACTCCGCGTCGTTCAGCGCGTCCGAGAACGGTTCGTCTAGACGCATCGAGCCAGTAAACACGTTCTCAACTGGAACAGAGACCCCCAGACATCGTGATGTGAAACAGTGGAAGAGTTCCCCACCTAGACAAGGCGTCGTTTTTATTTGCATGCATTATTTTCACGCTTCCCAAACACCAAATTCCGAGCACAAGCGTACCGCATTAGAAGTGAGAACATCCAAAAGTAAACAAACGAATCATTGCGTACAAAATTTAAAATCAGCAAGAGGAAAAAGCTTAAACAGCAAATTGGAGATATTTGGTGACCGAAATCACGTGGCAGTAAGGCATTGAGACTGCAGTTCGGTGGTATGCTTTGGCTCAGTCTGCACTCACTAAATGGTGCGGGGGGTGGTGGCCGTACAGCACTTGAGCTTCCTGATGGCTCTTTAGATGGCTCCACATCCAGGGCGGCCTGCTCCGTCGCGTTGACGGCTGCGTCCGTCCCGCCGGAGAATGTCCCAGCTGCAACAAAATAGAAAATCATGCCACTGCACGAAACACGCTTAAGTCGGTCCTCCTTGCATGAGCTCAATCCATTCATATTTGTTGACAACAAACAAGAGAATCAGAAGTCCACCGTCCAAGAACGGACTCGTAAGTCACACATAAATACAGAAAGTACATCCCTTCCCGCCGCATTTGCACGCTGTAACACCGCCCCACAACGCCGATGACTGCCAAGATCCCGTCGACTGTCCCAACCAGCGCCGCGTCGCACCCAGCCCGGTCTGTCCTAGCCTCGCTCAATCCAGAGCAGACGGTTATATTACGAGCCGCGCCCTGAAGGAGGCTAGGCCATGATGCGGTACAAATATGTGGGATGCACTGCAGCGACGGGGAGAACGTCACGTGGTTGTTGGTGAGTACTCCACCTCCCAGTTGTTCCTGGTAATCCACCGGGCCAGAGGTATCCAGCCCGCTCGGTATAAGCCGAGGTCTGAAAAATGCCGCGCTGCAAAGCCTGGGTCGATGCCGAGCGTGGACAAAGCCCTGCCGTCCTTGGGCTTCTCAGCCTGGAGAAGCTCCGCGAATTCGGCTTGGATAGATGGATGCGGCCCTTAGCTGTCGTTAACGATATCCATCGTCGACGGCGCTCGTCGCCACAGGCGTTGATCATTAGCAGCGTCCGTGGCTAGCGGCGTCTGTTCTTGCCGCTGTTTGCCGTTTCCGGCGTCTGTGGTGATCAACGTCTTTTCTTACCGACGTCTGGGGCATCGGTTTCCGTGATCTACGGCGTCTGCCCTTACCGACAACTACCGTACCTGGCGTCTGTGGTGATCGACGTCTGTTCTTACCGACGTCTGGGGCGCCGGTTTCCGTGATCTACGGCGTCTGCCCTTACCGACAACTGCCGTTTCCGGCGTCCGTGGTACCTGGCGGCCGTTGTTATCAGCGTCTGCCATTACCGGTGTCAGTGGTTACCGGCGTCCTTCGCTGTCGTTCGAGTGGTACTCACTGGATAGGAGCACGATGAAGATGAGGACGGCCAGTATGGCCGACAGAATGCCGGCCCAGCACAGCCACCGTTGCTTGGTGTGCGTCTCCCTCCCGCCGGGGTAGTACTTCTCTCCCCTGCAAAGGTCGAGCAGGCCGTGTTCGTCAGGCCTGGCAGGGACACGCACCATTACCGGTGGGGCCGGTGTAAAGCGTGCAGTGGCCCGGATCACACAAACGTGCATGTCGCTGGGGGGGGGGGAGGGGGTAAAGCTGCTGATGACGCCGGGCGTTGAAACCGATCCGACGCACACGATGATGCGCACGCACACGGGTGTGGAGAGGGTAAATGGAGAAAATCTGTCGCTGTTACGCTTAGGCTACAGGCGCAAGGTGGATTGCTCATTTGCAGCCAATAGCGTGAACCTTTCGATCGGCGAACATCAGGAAGCGCTTCCGTCGCACGCATCAGCTAAGAGGGAAGTGTGCATTCTATCACCATTTGTCGAGCTCGCACAACAAGGTATTGTTCGCAGTGTAATAATGGGTTTAACGCTGCGTCAGCTGTTTTTCGGCCAGTCCGGTCAGGCACATTACGCAACTGAATACACTTGACAAAATCCCAACACAACTTATGCTCGTGTAGTTGGCAGCTAACTACATGGTGAATTTAGTAGCACTATGTCGTGCACTGAAATTGTAGCCTGTTTGCTACAAGACCACATCCACAGATTGGAATAAATGCAAAGATTCGGAACCCGCGCAATAAGTGTTCCATTCATGGATTACCACGGCGAGAACATTACTCATAAAAACCAGAACAAAAACATAATGATCACTAGCTAACTCACAAACAATCAGGGCTCTTGATCTAATCTCTGTCGGAGGTAAACACGCTATTCAAAACGAGAAATGCTTTTGTAGTTTGGGGATAGCTAATCTGAGCTAGCGCATCAACAAGGAGTGCAAACTTGAAGCATGCATACCGTAAACCCTACGACCGAAGGACTACTTCAGCAAGACACCACTAGAACAGACTCTCCCACTCGACTACGCATTCTGCACTATGCTGTGGAACTACACTGCACTATGCAAGCGCCTTTGCTGGTGCAGCTCGGCCTGGATGCTGGGCAGAGAGGAAGCCATATTCTGCGCAGGGGAAACTCTGGCAGGCGACAGTGGTACCATCGTCGGACGGCGGCAGCCAGCTGCTCAGCATTCAATGCCGGCAGGCTCTCTCGCAGCGTACGCTGCAACCGAGGCCGGTTCTCGTTCTCCGTGGGCGGCCCGCTGTCCCGCCGGCCCCGCTCTGCTGTGAGGTGGCGGCGCAGCCAGCTCAGGAGGCGGTCAGCGGCCGGCGGCTGACTTGGAGGCGCGGCCTCCGCGCCGCCACCGGCCTCGGCTCGCTGCGCGGCCTGCTCGGCGCCGGGCGCCCCATTCACACCCGACCGCAGCCGCGCTGACAGCTCGGCTCTGACGGCCACGGCCGCGGCGAGCCCGCGCCGCAGCCGGCCGCCCCAGCCGTCTTCGGCCGACCCGGCTCGGTCGCCGTCACCGTCCGCGGGCGGCGCGCGGTCGGTGCTGCTTCCTGGCGGCCGCTCTGCCTCCCCGTCACCGGAGTGGCGCCCCCGGCCGCCGGCAGCCGTCAGCAAGCGGCGCACGCCGCGCCGCGCATCCTCGGCGCTCGGCACCCACGCCGGCACGCGGATGGTGAGGTGCAGCGCGTGGCGCTCGGCCTCGGCTGGCCGCCGCGGCGCGCGCCGGGTCGCGCTCGACGCCGAGCTGTCGGCCGCCAGCGAGCCGGGGCTGAGGAGCAGCGGCGCGGCGCGCCGGCCGTCTGCCTCGGCCGGCGGCTCTGCGCGCCGTCTGGCGGCAGCCCGGCCCAGCTCAGCGCAGTTGAAGTACACCACCTCGTCGGAGTCCTGCAGCGAGAGCTGCGCGGGCGTGGCGACACACCGCGGCTTGCCGGCCGACCGCTCCTGGATCGAGAACACAGCGGGCGTGGCGCCGAAACGCTGCGGCTGGGCCGCCCAACGATCGGCCTGGACCCCCCACTCAGAGAGCGCGGCGCCGGTGCCGTCCAGCGACGACGGCTGCGACGCAAACGGGTCGTCTTTGAAGTATGTGATACTCACGTCGTGGGCATTAAACCCACCGTCGTGGAACTCCTTTGGCACGCTTTGGAAAGAAATAACTTGGTTAAGCTATGGTCGATTAGGGTCGGTAGAAAGGTCAGGAAGAAAGGGGGTTTCTCGCGGTGGGTGGTGAGGCTGGCGTAGCACGGGTGAAGCGTGCCGACGCACGCCTCACCCAAACATATTACGCTCATCATGCAAAACTAAGAAAATCGACCGAGCGTAGTTCATAACGGGCACACCAGCGTCTGCGTACACATCCAAGCGCACACACACGCTCACACCGACACGGTCAGATGGAGACAAGACATGACACCACCGGGGGAGGGACCACTAGGGAACCAGACGGTGTCTTTTGTCTTGTTAGTACCCCTGAGGGGAGCAATTCGCACGGACGGATGTGGCGGGCTCACAGCGGTCCTCATCCGGTCCCCGGGGCCTTTAGATAGAAGACGAGGTGCGCCGTTGCCTTTGTGAGGAAATATGTCAACGAGCGGCTTACGTTTTCGACCGACTACAGCCACCATCTCCTGCCCAGTCAATTCCCTCGCCCCTTGACGAGCACCGCGATACGCGTGTGGGGGTGATTGTAGTACCCTGACTGTCAGGGCTTCGTAAGAGACGAATGTTTCTGCTCCGTAGAAGCCGGCGTGGCCTAGCTGCCACCGTGCGCTATACTGACCTGACAGGAGGCAGTGCACATCTCGACGGATCTGGGCTGACGTTATAGTTCCAGCTAACCGGACGCTCACCTTCGCTGGAGTTATTAGTCACGTAACCAACCTTTCCTCAACACGACATTTTGCTACCACAGGTTTCGGAATTTTCCACTCTCAACTCGTCTATGCCACATGGTTCTCCAAAGTTCCGGACAGTCTTACGGTGCAAGACAGTTTTCCAAGTGACTATCAGTCGTAAAAAGTGCACACCTTGCACCAGGTACCAAACGGAGTGTGCAGGTATTGATATTTGCAGCTACTAAGCGCTTCTGGAGGTGTCATCGTGTGGGTTCAGACATAACACCATGCCATTCCCTTTAAGTGACGTCACTGCAAGGTCGTGCAACGGTGCCGAAAACTTCACTGTCTGATTTAAAACGCTTACAGGTCCTACGAAATTTGTCCCTGGGCAAGGAATTATCCTGCTCTGTTTTTGTGCTTTGGTCAAGTCCATATGTTAAGGTTAAGCGCATATTGGTCGGTCACGCACGCGTTTTGTGTATAATACAACACACTTGGGTTGCCGAAATTGTGCTTCCCGTCTACCCAAACCTTTCCACTATTAGCTGCCTCCCATGTCTCTCCATTTCTCTTGCGTCCACTTTATAACTAAAAAATTAGTTGCCGTTTCTTGGAACGCTAACCCAGCACTATTATCGGCAAATTATCATCGTGCTCTCCGTATATCCGTCCTCCACCGCTCCTCCCTCTAATAGTACCACGCCCCTCCTCCCGTCCCTCCAGATCACTTTCTCCCTCTTTCTCTCCAGTCTCCAGTACCTGGGTGACCTTGACACGCTCGCCACCTGTCCCACGCGTTTGAATTTATTGGGTTATCGGTTACACGCGGTGCGGCGCCGGCGCGTCCTTGGGGCCCGGTGCGTGTCACCTGGACCCGGTCCACAAAGCGGGCAGCGTCACGGCTGTTTCGGCCCGCCCGCCGACAAACCGGTCCGCTCCGTGGGGCAGCCGGTACCGCGCCCGGCACCACACCCGCTGGGGTGCCGGGCCGGCGTCGCAGGGTGGGAGCCGGGACGTCACCAGAGGGAGCCGGGCCAACACCACACGGAGCCAGGCCGGCACCAGAGGGAGACGGGCCAGCATCAGAGGGAGCCGGGCCGACACCACAGGGAGTCGGGCCGGCATCAGAGGAGCCGGACCGGCACCAGAGGGAGCCGGGCCGACACCATATGGAGTCGGGCCGACACCACAGGGAGCCGGGCCGGCACCAGAGGGAGCCGGGCCGGCACCAGAGGGAGCCGGGCCGACACCAGAGGGAGCCTGGTCGACACCAAAGGAAGCCGGGCCGACACCAGAAGTAGGGCTGGGCCAGGACCAGCAACACTATCCGGTTTGACTGGAACTAGATTGGCCTGCAAGGACACGCCCCGCAGAAGTCCAGACAGAGGTGACGGTCTTGCCACTTAAGCTCGGAGACAATTCAGCCGTTAAATCGGCAATCTTGCTGCTGACAGTAACGGCAATTTCATTGAAGAGCGGCTCGTAAGCCAGGTGCCAGCTGTTACGCCGGTGACTTAGCCAAGAAACCCGGACATGAAGTGTCCGGGGAATTTGGTGCCGTAAATGTATGGTGCTTGATAAGCAATGACGAGGTTTCGCAGCCGTGGATCACGATTGGAATACTAACCGACTGTGTTGTGCAATAGGAAACGTTTTGCAGCATACCAAAAAGTAGGACTACGGCGACATGAGCTGGAATGTGTTAATTGAACGAACGGTGTGCAGTGTCGGCTCCTTTCGGTAACCACATTACTGATCGCTGCATGAGTGTGTGTGGGCAAGTGTGTAATTGTTTGCATCTGTGCATGTGTGATGAGCTGTCGTGCAGCACATTACCTGAGATGTTAAAAAAGATCCAACAGCCAGTTCTACAGTGCATGTACAAGTCCGTGACGCATGCAGAACAGTCAGATGAGGGGGAGGAAGGGGGGGGGGATGGCGTGAGATCGAGCACGACAGGCCACACCTTCCGCTCCAGCAACAGCCGTTCAGCTGACACACCCTGATGGGAAGCGGGGAGGAGGGGAATACGCTGTGACGTCAGAACGGCCTGTGGCAGACGCCGCCGCTGGGCCAGTCCCCCCCCCCCCCCACCCCCCACCGCGACACGGCTACTGGCATCAAACCGTGCGACTGCCACCTGCCGGCCATTCTTCCAGTCTTAGTCAATGAGCTTGGTTTGAGTTAATCATCGCTGATGTCTAAGCACGCTTCACGTGAATCAGTCACCAGTCAGCCGTGCATGCTCGCTGAGAAATGCAGGGACGCTATTGAGGCGTGGTGTGGGCCGCCTTACATCGTGCCAACGGAAGTCTTCATCAGCAGCGACTACGCCGGAATCGTGTTCATAAATCACTCACCGTTCACTGGCGTGAGTCATCTGCATTTGTTCCGAATCAGAATCATTGATGACTCGCGAAGTCAGGTCTTAAACATGTCCAACGCGTGCAAATAAGCCAGCATCAAGGCAGCGAGTGAACAGAAACGTCTCTAGATACCGTCACAAACACAACATGCATACAGCGTCAAGGAAAAAAGTCAGCAGTGGAACAGATGAGAACGTTAAATGTCACAATGAGGAGAATTATCAACTCAAAAAGGCAAAGCTCGATGAATGACTCCACAGCCCAACCTTTGGACAGTTTGACAGCAGCTCGACAGTTCAACCTCAGACACAGATCATGCATCTTTCGGTAATGTCAGATGACTGATGAGTGGAAGCGGTTTTGATTGTTACGATCTGTCACGAGTCAGCCATACGCAGGAGTTCAAAAACAGCCAACAAACGGCAACTCCCCGTCAGCGCTTACCCGATAATCTTGCGGTGGGTGTTGCCGTGCGGCATGGTGTCGCCGTTGTCGTGGTACGTGATGTCGATGACGGCGTCCTTGCTTTTGAGACCGTTGCCGTTCTTCTCTGGCGTCATGGTGACCAGCTCGAGATCGACGGCCTCCTGCTCCTTCTTGGTTTCGCTGGACGGCTTGGTGGAGCTGTCCGCCTCGCTGGCGTCCGCTTCCGAGCCAGAGTGGTCCGAGGAGCTGGCCGCCGGCTTCTCATCGTCCTCGAATACGGGGTTGTCGAAGCCCTGGATGGTCACGTCCTCTCCCTCCTTCTCGTCCGACATGGCGACGGTGGCGGCGGCGGCGGACTCTCCAGAAGGCGGTCACTCCCGTACTCGGACGCGTCTCACAGGTCACACCACGTCACGAAGCCTGGCGGTACCAAACGCTGGGTTAGCGCATGCCGGAGGGCTGAATACAGCTGCATGGACCACGATTACACGAGTGACTATATACATCATCACTATGGGGGTGGTCTCCCTAACTGGAAATCGGTCTGTCGCATGTGGTCCATGCTCATACGCATCGTCCGATGTCCTCGGAAAATACCCTCGGTGAAATTCGTAACATTTTTGCGGTGCCCAAAGACTGTTTCATGACTCGTGAATCAACACTTTGAAATGACATATGAGGGCGTATCTTTCGATTGTGAAAGAGGCTTGCACAGAAGTTAAATTGACGATCATTGTTGTGAACCATTATCGGGGTCGATTATTTGCGGTGCATACATGCGCCAACGTTTACAAATAACGCTAGAATTAATACGTGCGATATGCGTAACACGAGCTGACTGACATCACAGCTGTGCATTCTCAAGCTGTCCCTGGCGGCGGCATAGCCATGACGTGCTCTGAAATATCGCTACGTGGCCGACAGCCATCGAAAAGCACGACCCCTTTCGCCGTCTGCCGAGCTGGTTCGACGTCACAGACGAATGAAGGAGAAATCGGCACGTTTACATAAGCTACCACATCTTCCATAGGCAGGAGCGGAGCCTTGTCCCTGGTGGCGACATCGTTATGGCCAGCTCTGAGAACACGGTAACGGTCCGGCAGCGTTAAAGGTGCATGCATTGTGCAGCGGAGCCCGAATGGCGGCGCGACGGTGGCCGGCGCCGACTGGCCGCCGCCGCTAGAACTTGACCGCCTGCAGATGTCATCAATACCACTGGTCACAGAGGTCCGGTGCCTGAAGCCCACAGCAACTGGCGTGGGGCAACAGGTTGGAAGTTGCGGCCAATGGGCGCCAGTCAGCGGCAGACGCCCTGGACTGCGGGATGTGGAGGGGGGGGGGGGGGACGGGACGCGCTCTCGACACGCTCGCCCGTCCCGGCCAGCCCAGGGGGACGGCTGGAGCCTGACGCGGCTTGGTGAGTTGTTGAGCTACTCGGAACTTCTGTTACGTAGTCGTCTCCGCCTGGTCCGGCAGTGACTCAGCACCGCCGGCCCGTGACAGTCCAAACTCCAGAGTACAGAACGTGTTTGGCGGATTACACCGGGATAATGCCGGTTCATGGGCTTGGCAGGTGGCACCTGCAGGAAATCATGCATGCATGCACATGCATCTGTGGAATGTAGAACAGTGTTACTTTTCAGATCAGTAGGGCCTCTATCGAAAATAATGCGCACACTATGTTGTGCAGGGTCTAATGGTTGGTTCAGCTGCAGCAAAGTGCATCATGTGATGGCATATTTTGCGCGGCCGTCTAAGCACAGCATCAATGTTGAGCTTTACCTAGTGCCGCTTACACTACTGTTCCAAACGGCAATAACGGTGTAGTCGCATATGTGCCAATCTAATTGATCAGAAAATACCCCGATCGTCTCAGGGGGCGTGACATGGGGACGTCGTCACGATATGGTGTACCTCTTCCACCTCTGAAGTCCCACGCCATCAGGAGGGGCACCGCCACAGGCAGCGTGAGATCTTTCTTCAAGTGTTATGAAACTTATTTTCCAATTATACTCCCCCCAGTCATAAATCCAGTGAAAGGAACTGCTGACGGAACCGGAACGAACTGGCAAGGGAAAATAGCACCTCTCTTTCTAAGACATCACACAGATATTTTCCTCGCCGTTTCTCGTCCGTCGTCTTCTTTCTCTGAATCATTTCAGCCGCCTGCGTCTACATGCCTCCTCTCGTCCATACCAATGGCCTCCTCACCGCTTCCGACTGCAAAATTCCCCAAATACAGCCCCGCTTGACACAACCCTTGACACTTGACTCACGCACTGTGACACCGGTGTCCATAGTCCATGTAAACTGCAGACGGTGGTTGGTGGACTTCCCACGACTGTGGGAGTAGGGCGTGGCGAGGTGGTAAATCACCAGGCTGCCGCCGGCGCAGGCGTGTACAGCGGCTGCTGCCCCCCCCCCCTCAGCCCACCCGCTCCGCCACTCGTCAAAGATCCAGTCCCATCTCACCATCTCAAACCCTCGTAACAAGGCTGTTATGTAACACCGTCCAGCTGCGAGATGTTTTGGTCAATGTCCAGTGCAGCTTAAGAGAAGAAAACAACGCCAAGGAGTGCCCTTTGGAGCCTGATGACACAATCCGTGAAAGAACACAGCTCAAATGGCGCCCCTGAAGTGAACTCGGTCAATATATAACACTCGTGGCTGGAGCTGCCTCCCCCGCGAAACCCACCTAGCCCGGCCAGTATATCATCAGCAGCGGCGTCATGGTTTGACCGCGGTGTGAACGTTATTGGTAGGCCCTGACCCATTATGACCGCGGTGTGTGCGCTGTCGGTCGATCCTGACCCATTATGACCGCGGTGTGTGCGCTGTCGGTCGACCCTGACCCATTATGACCGCGGTGTGTGCGCTGTCGGTCGACCCTGACCCATTATGACCGCGTTGTGTGCGCTGTTGGTCGACCCCGATCAATCATGACCGCGGTGTGTGCGCTGTTGGTCGACCCTGACCCATTATGACCGCGGTGCGTGCGCTGTTGATCGCCCTGACCAAGCATGACCGCGGTGTGCGCGCTGTTGGTCGACCCCGAGGCATTATGACCACGGTGTGCGCGCTGTTGGTCGGCTCCGACCAATGATGACCGCGGTGCGTGCGCTGTTGATCGACCCTGACCCGGCCCCGTCGACACCGCCGGCGCCGGATGGGCCGCGGCGGTGGTATCGGCGCCGTCCGCTAATAGGATGGCCGTTACAGGGTCTCGGAAGCCTCAGGACCGTGGCCGCCGCTGTCATCGGGGCCGGAGTACGCCGATACATGGCGCGCAGCGTGGCTCGCCCTGAGGCGGGGCAGGTCACTGGTGAGGCGGGGCAGGTCACTATGAGGCGCGGCAGGTTACTGGTGAGGCGGGGCAGGTCACTACGAGGCGGGGCAGGTCACTATGAGGCGGGGCAGATTACCGGTGAAGCAGAGTAAGTCACTATGAGGCAGGGCAGGTCACTGGTAAGGCGGGGCAGATCACTGGTGAGGCGGGGCAGATCACTGGTGAGGCAGGGCAGGCCACTATGAGGCGGGGAAATTCACTAGTGAAGCTGAGTAAATCCCTATGACGCGGGGTAGGTCACTGGCGAGACATGGCAGGTCGCTGATGATGAGGGTCAGATCACTGGGGAGGCGGGCAGGTCACTGGTGAGGCGGGGCAACTCACAGATGAGGCGCGGTGGGTTGCTGGTGAAGCAGGGCAGGAAACCGATGAGGCGGGGCAGGTCACTGGTGAAACAGGGCAGGTCACAGCAATGCTACCACTTCTTTACCGATACCGTCTGTATGGGCACATCACCACGCAGTGATAAGGCACTAGGCTGTTGCTATGCTACACCAGTACCGTGCTACACCGGTGCGGTGGGGCACAAACGCGGTATTTCATCGGTGCCGTCGCGCCCTGTCAAGGGAGGGCGACCCCAGGAGGCCAGCTGCGTCCGTACCAGGCATCCCTCAGCGTCGACCGCAGGCGCGTCACCGCAGCCGCCGGGCCGACGTTACGCCACGGCGCCTTTGCACAACGCCTGAGAGCCGGGTATCAATGACAGCCGCTGCAACACGTGGCCGGGCCGGGCAGCGCCGCCGCACGGCCCGCCAGGCTGGAGAGGCCGCGCCGGCCCGGCCCGTGCCAGGGCCCGCCCCAGGGCAGAACCGAGGTCACGGGACTGGCCCCGCCGCTCCGCGCCACCGCCCGTTTCCAATGGCCGTCTCGAGAGAATGCGGCGGCTCTTGTGTGGCCGGCTGGGGATGACTATTCACCTGACACCAAGACCAAGGGCAGCGGCTAGCTAGCTTCTACTCACGCTTGGCTTTCACCGCCTCCGTCTCCACTCATCGGACACTAGGCGAATCACGTGAGAGCGCTGGGAGACGCGCAAATATGGTGAGGAGCTGACACACGGCACCGAAGTGTTTACCGCTCCGGGCGGCAAGAAAAGCTGCAGATCGTTTGTACCTACCCATGCAAGGAGCGACACTACCGTAAATTGATGCCAACAAGTGGGCTGGAAAACATGTGGACGTCATCACACGATGACGCACGGGTGCTGCTTTCAAATCTTGAGTGAACAATAATAGTTAATAATGTGAGCGATAATGGGAACGAAAGCATTTGACCGACACTGAGTTCACTCTTAGCTCCCTATCCCGGATTTTTTGACGGGCGGTTAAATTCAGTGCCCGAGCTGTCGTCTTGTGACTTCGTTCCTGGTCATCACACATCCAGCAACGAGAAAGCGTGCATGACCTTTGACATCTCTTGCCATCGACCGCACCACACCTGCTCCGAGTCACTAACGTTTTTCGTCGCTGACTAAACAGTTCGTCGTTAAATGACTGTTAAATGCTGCTGTCTTTTCCACAAGCAAATCCGCTGTCGTTGGCTTCATTTAATGAACTCCATGGAGCTCTTGGTCGATTCTCTCCGACGGTTCCATGCAAACAAACCCCCCGGAGCGCGGTCCGGTGGCGCGTTCAGCGGTTATAACGGGCCACAAACACAGCGCTGGTGTTGGCCGCCGGTTGGCCGGGCCGACTGAAAAAGGCGCTCGACCGGCGTCACAACCGCCCACCCCGGCACGTGACAGCCAGGAAAACAACGCCGCGCTGCAGACGCGGCCAACTGGCCCAACGGCGCCGCTGTCTGGCTGGCTGCCACATCGACGGCTGCAGCAGCAGCGGCGGCCTGGCGGCCTGTCAGCAATTACAGCTGCTGATGTGACTTTCCACGGTGACTGGAGCTCCAACGAAGCTGGCATTTCTTTCCGAGCGTCCTGACTGTGCCTTACCATACAGTCGCATCGCGACCAACGGGAGTCACTACGGAGGGCAGAGGAAACACGGGAACTGTTGGTAAACCCACGATCAAACCCACGTCTGCCATGGAAGATGCGGAGACCCTGTATAACTAGCGATCG